GTTGATTGAGGTCGAGTGGAAGCAGGTTTAACTGAACGCATTGCGTTTGTAAGCCTGTTCGTGTAGGAGGTTAGATCCATGTTCATCGAAGAGCACGAAGGATCCACGAATTCTCCTGGAAGTCGAAGTGTCGTTCCATAAACGAGTTGAGCCGCAGTGTATCCAATGTCAGCTTTCACTGCATTGCGGATACCTAGTAAGACGAGTGGAAGAGCGTCGGTCCACTGTGAAACGTTTGCAGCTGATAGTGAAGCTTTCAGTTGTCGGTGAAAACGTTCTACCAACCCGTTTGCTTGTGGATGGTAGGCGGTCGTTCGGAAGCGAGTGATTCCTAAAAGTGTGGTCAGACGACGGAAAAGATCAGATTCAAACTGACGTCCGCGGTCTGTAGTGATGGTTGAAGGGCAGCCGAAGTTTGCTACCCATCGTTCGACGAAGGTGCGGGCCACTGTTTCAGCAGTGATGTCCTTGATAGGTACTGCTTCTGGCCATCGAGTGAAACGGTCTACGCAGGTTAAGAGGTAAGAGTATCCATTTGAATCTGGTAAAGGTCCTACCAAATCCAGATGAACATGGTCGAAACGAGCATCGGGAGTTTTAAACGAGCCTAAGGGACATTTATTGTGTCTGATAACCTTAGATTTTTGGCAGCTTACACAGGAGCGTGCCCACTCCCTCACGTCTTTATTCATGCCAGGCCAGCAAAACCGTTCTGCTATAAGCTTGATGGTTGCACGAACACCTGGATGAGAAAGTTTGTGCAATGTATTGAAGACATTGCGTCGATAATGTTTCGGCACGATTGGGCGATCCCTACCTGTAGATGTGTCACAAAGTAAGGTTTCCTTACCTGTTCCCATCTGTTTGATGCGTAGTTTAAGTGTTGTGGACGATAACTCGTGCTGAAGATCAGTGTCTTCTTTTTGAAGCTCGGCGAGTTTAAGAAGGTCGATTCCTTGGAAACTGTTCAAGGAAGTTATGCGAGATAAGGCGTCTGCAACTACATTGTTTGCTCCAGAAATATGTTGAATATCTGAAGTAAACTGCGAAATGTAGTCCAGTTGTCGAGACTCACGGGGAGAGTACTTGTCAGAAGAGGAGCTTAACGAGAAAGTGAGCGGTTTATGGTCCGTGAAAAGAGTGAATTCACGGCCTTCGATATAGTGTTGGAAATGCCGTACAGCACAATACATAGCTAGGAGTTCCCTACCGAATGTGCTGTACCTCGATTCGGTGTCTAGCAACCTTCTAGAGAAAAATGCCAAGGGTTGCCAGGAGTTGTTAACCCATTGTTGTAAGACTCCTCCGATTGCCGAGTCGGATGCGTCTACTGCGATGCTAATGGGTGCTTCGGTGTCCTGATGTGCGAGCATTGTTGCTTTAGCGATCAGTTCCTTAACTGTGGAGAATGCTTTTCGTGCGGTGTCGTCCAAATTAATGGATTTCGCATTTCCACGAAGTTGGTCGGTCAGAGGTTTCATAAGTAATGCGCAATTCGGTATGAAACGTCTATAGAAACTTACAAGGCCGTTAAACGTGCGTAATTGCTTGACGGTGGTCGGTTCTGGGTAATCCAGAATGGCCGCCACTTTGGTTCTAAGGGGTCGGATACCTTGAGCATCGATAGTGTGTCCTAGGAAGTCTAAAGAGTCAGCTCCGATTTGGCATTTCTGAACATTTACAGTAATGCCATGTTTTTGTAGTCTTTCGAAAACAAGATTCAGATGCTTGAGATGTGATGTGATGTGTAACGTTGCTGGTTACACACGGTAGTTTCAGTTGCGTTTGTTGTATCCCAGGGTACTTATCGAGTAGTGGTTGATAAAGTGGGTCTATCGTATGCTTAATTGTGACTGGGGATAATCTGCAACCAGAAAAAGAAGTTATGCAAACGGATAAATTATTGTTTCCGTCTACTAGCCTTCGTTTGCGCGTATCGATGATTAGATTATGGTGTTGTAGAAGGTCCATACCAATGATTGGCATAGATACATCTGCAACAACGAAGATCCAGTGGATGGGTTTGCGTAAACCCACGTTAAGGTAAACGTACCTTTTGCCATACGTAGCGATCGGTTTTCCGTTTGCCGCCTGTAAGTTTAAAGTCGATTCGTGAAGCCGTTCGTTGGGATTTGTTGGGAGAACGCTAACTTCTGCGCCAGTATCGACGAAGTAGCGAGCTTTCGTTTTCACATCTGTGACGTATAACAGACGGCTATGTTGGCCGGCTACGGTTGCCGTTAATGCGTGCCGGCTTGGAAGTTTCCCGAGTTGTTTTTCGAGTCGGTCGGTTTTGAGTTGGGAAAATCGCAGGGTTTTGTGCAATTTCTGGAAGACTTTCCATACTGGTTATGACACCAGCACCAATCGGGATTATCCGCCTCTCGTGGTCTAGAGACAGATCGCTTACGTGAAATGCTTCTACGTGGGGTGCGCGATCTCTTACGGTCGTTACGAAATTTAGGATAACGTGTAAGTGTATGACATAACTCTGTAATGTCGTCCTGAGCCGTTTGAGGCTTTTCTCTGACTGAAAAAACCTCGGTAGTAGAAGATTTCGTAATTTCTAAGATACGATCGGCAGATGCAGCCAGCTTGTCTAAGGCGTTGTTCTGAAACGAGACCAGAACCGCTTGCACCTGTTGGTGAAGTTTGGACAAGAAAGGTTTTTTTAATAGGCCTTCGTCGAAAGTTCTTGAGCCTATAACCTCTCTCGTCCTTCGCAACATGTCCGTCGCAGAACCGTGTTGCAATTCTATGATATTAAAGATTTGGTCTGACCTCTGTCGATCGGTTGGGTCTCCTCGTTTAAGGATAGAACGCTTTAAGGTTTCGTACGGTTCAGAATCATCACTAGTAAACATACTAGGTGTTACGTACCTGTTGAATTCCCGCGGTAGTGCCTTGACTACTGTGAGGGATCGGGCACGTGTGTCGTTCACGTCGTGCTCGGAAAAGTCCGCTTCTGTGTGGCAGAACCGGGCTTCGATATTGTCTAGCCAGAAGGGCATGAGTTGGGACGAGGGTGGGGACAAAGTCTTAAGCTTAAATACTTTAGGTGTCTGTTCGGTCATGATGAAATATGAAGTACGATAATGAACGAGGGAAAAAATATATATGTATTCAAAAGCACGAAAAAAATATCGCAGTGCAAAAAATTAAGATAAGGCAATAATATATAGAGTCCCAAAATGGAACAAACTCACAATTTACGATTTGGTGTGCCAGATCACGTTAGGCTCACCAATGAAGATGGCACAGGTATTCAGTGTTTGAAAACGCTTTTACCAGTAACACCTAATATAACTCGTACCCACCAAGAGAAATCAAAAGACAGGATCGAGGAGATCAGATGTTGTATTTGACGATTGCCAATATATCGGAATTGTCTGATCTAGTCTGGCTAGCGATTTCAGTAGCAGTTGAGCACGGCGTTCCCACACGTGATCTGGTGCGGATGCATGACCGAGCGCCTTCAGCTAGGTGAGTCCACTAAGACTAATCCGGTCAGCATCCAATGTCGAAAACTTACAGAGCTATTTATTTTGGGGATTTATTTACCGCTACAACTTCTTTGAGAGTGGTCAAATGCTGGAATTCGCTGCAACTTCCCATGAACACTTGAGAAGAAACTTGAAATATTCCTAAGGACTAAGGATAGTACCTTACTATGATTTGCCATTTTTCCTTCTCCTTCATCGATCATATCCCTAAAGGTATAGGAACCTACAGGTTGCTGCCTGGAGGTAACGATGATCCTCTGTTGCAACATACGGACGTCCAACAAGCTAAAGCTGCTTCTATTCCATGCAGAACCATTTGAAGTTGTCTTATCAGTTAGATAGAGATAACAGGGAACAAATAGTTCGTTAATTTAACCAATCTTGGGGTTTGGACGTCTTGCTACGCGCATGAAATAAAACTATTTTTACTTTGGTTTCGTTGGTCTTGTTCTAGAGAAAGACAGCTTATTCTAGTCCTAGATAAACGTACTAATGTACTTAATTTTTTTGAGAAGTTTGATGATTCGATGCATTAAAACTTGCCAGATATGCATAGACTTAATTTCAGACAATAACGTTTCGTACATCGCTCATATACTTAGAAAATTAGTTAACACTTGGTAATTTGGCATAAAATTACTTATTGCATATGTGATTGTTTCATCTTGGCTTTCAAATAAGGCATGAAATGTTACTGATTGCCCTAGAAAATCAACAAATTATTACTCACACATAAGTTTGAGCTTGTATATGAGCAGCCAACGTCAATTTATTAGTAACAATATGTTTTTAAAGAATGTGTGTTATCATCATGGATATGAGCAATATTTTTTGTAGTAATATATTATTTGTATCTCACGCATTATGGTAATGGATGACAAAATGTCAATCTTAAGGTTTTCAAATTAAAGTTTGGTTAACATTTCCAAATACCTTTAGAAACTTAGCTTTCGTTTGTCATAAAATTCATCTAACTAACTAATAATTTGGCCTTTTACTCAGTAGCCCACATTCTAGGACGATAAAATCTCAATATTTCACGCACCTTTAGGGCTCAAAACAGACACGGACGTACAACGTATGTGTGAAAATGTACAAACTTCATACGTTTCTTTTAATGCAATTTTCTTTTAAAAAGGTAGTTTCAGCTATTAATATTACAATATTGCTTGAAATTTTTAAGGCTTAATTGTCAGTAATTGGCGATAATATTATGCTAAGTGTGACTTCTGGATCATTCTACTATTTTACATTATTGGCTCTTTTTCTATCAAATTTTGAGCTTACTTATTACGTCATGCTTCGAATTGTCCTGTGAGCCGTTTTCCGTTTTATTTACTTGCTTTCGAACTGCACTTGCTGTTTTACCCTAATTTTTAGTCTTTCTGGGATCTTATCTCATCTTTCCTCACATTTTATTTTAGAATTACCTGTTTTTAGCGAGTACAGAATAGGATTTTACCAAATTTTATCAACTTTTTTGGACAAACGGATCGTTTTGGGTTTACAAAATGGATTTAAGTAAGTCAATCAATATTATCGCTATGCTTTTAGCTACATGTTATGGTAAATTGTCATTTTGAATCACATCTTGAAAAGTCGCTTCTTGAAGTCCATATTATAAAATTAGTTTACAGATTGCGCCAATTAAAATGACCGCCGAGACTTAAAAGTGGCGAGAAAATGGATCGTATGTCAATCATTCTTCACTATTTTCATCATTTCGATAATTCACTGTGACCGTATCTTGTTACAATACAACTAAAGGCTACCATGCAGTTGCACTGCATTACTCTGTGGCTGTGAAACAGTCCATGCAGGTAGGGAACGTAAAAATATTCTACCTTCTTTAAATAAGTGCCTTTTCAGTATGATTTGGCCGCCAAGTGAACAACCTAGGTTTGATATATATGATTTTGTGTATTGCTGGTATGTTGGTTGATGGGCTTGCGGATATTTAATTTAAATTTAACCACCGCCTACCTCAATAGCTGGTTTCGGGCCATTGTGTAAAAAACAGTATAAAACCTATCGACCAGGTCGTTGGTTGTTGTTTTATACCATATAGGAAAAAGGTTGACATCTAAAGTAAGTACATTGATCATTATCGCTGGATGGATGACGATACATATGATGGGGCCAGCTGTATTGGCTTAGTTGTATTCCGTCTATCGATCCCTAAATCTTAAAGCTAGTGTTATTCTGTACTTTCCATTTCCCAATCCCACTCCTTTTTTGTATGCTGTGCTCTGTGTTAAGTTTTAGTTTCCAATCTTTCATACTAGTTCTAGTATTTTCGTAAAGTACGAGTGAACTTATTAAGTGTCAGTGTATTCTGCGTCACTGATGATTTTAGTGTTATCGAACCTATCTTCATAGCGATTCTTCTTTGGCAAACAAAATAAATGACTTTTATTTTTATGTCAAGGCATCAACTTAGTGCTCTTCGAACCCAATATTTATTCCAAGCGTTCCCGAATGTTGTTCAAATTTATCCCACAGAAATTGTTCGATTAACACTAAGCTTGTCACTTCTTCAAATGACCATTAAAAACCACTAAACTCAGCTATTAAATTTGTCTCTATTATTAGGAATTATTATTATTATTATTATTATTATCGATCTTCACGGTTTTTATGTATGATTTGGATAAATTTTTATCATAGGTTATATGGATGTTGGTGTAGGTACAGTTCGTTGGATTAAATAAGTGGGTATCAATGGGTTGTAAGAGCCCTTCTGAAATTTAATACCTGCATAATGAACTCTTGAAGTAACAGGCAAGTATGTTTGAAAACCAGAACCTCACAAAAAATAAAGAGTGAATGCATCTATGGTACTGTGGCCGATTCTGAACCACATCACCAAACGTCTTTGACCACTGATATTGGCTGTCTTTTGAACTTTTACCTGGCAGTTTACAAGTGTCAATTCGGATTCGACCAATAGTCAATGATTTCATGGATTGATATCACTTATTGTTTTGACCGTTTCCTGCTTTCTTCCAACCTACTCTTGTCCCAACTACCATTGCGCTTCGTGGTTGGCTTTATTTTTGCATGCGTATCACTTGTTTTACCTGCTGTAGTCAGCAAATATTCACAAATTTATCAAATAAATTTCGTCTTTGTCCCCGATGCCCTGTTACGGCTGAGGGTGGGGAGATTCCACTCTCCTCAAAATGCTCTCACATGGCCTCCCGTGTACAGCTACTTCCAAAGATGTCCTACTCACTTCCTTCTCGTGGCGGGGATGTTGTCTACGAAGTTGAGAGGACGAAAAGCGAATGTCCGGCGCTTTAACCGGATCCCAAACCAAAGGTGTACATGGGCTCCGGGATTGTGAGGGAACAAATGGAGTATGAACCCATTGTTGGTCGGCAGCCACCGTGGGATTACATCTCCTGACGTTGCTCCACTGCCTTGTTGGTCAGACCTTTCGGCCCAAGGCTCGGGATGTGGCTCCCTTTGAAAACCACCTGCTTCGGTCTGGGCGCATATGTATTCGGTGTGCCTTTGAACCAATATTCATGAGTTCAAATAAATGAATAAATAAATAAATAAATAAATAAATAAATAAATACATCTTTGCCTAGTACCTTGTGCACAACCCCAGTATTGTTCACTTTATTGTTCCATCATACACCAGTAATATTACGAAAACATATATTCTCAAGAAATTGTAACTTACTTATGCTTTTTGCCACTGAAGGCCACATTTCAGAGACATAAGTTAAAACAGAGCTAAATGCTGAACAGCACGCTCATCCCTTGGTTGGTAGACAGACGTTTCGTGTACACCAAAGGTGACGCAGTTCGGTAAAAGCCTAGGAAGGTTTCCGAATATGTCCCTGTATATCGTCAAACACCAGTCCATCAGAGCTTGTGAGACTTCCATGATGGGTGAAGTGATAAACACTCTCAACTTCTTCACTTCCTATCATTAGTTTATATGTTGATGCAGACCAGTCTAGAAGCAATATTTTGCATTCATTGGGTAAGAAATGCTCTCCAGTCCATCGTTACTCAAGGCGTTCAAATGATCCTAATTACGTCAGTCTTCATTAAACAGAACAAAGTCAACTAGATATTTCACATCAATGAGTAGGTTTCCTGAGCAAGAATCACCGCCTAAAAAGTTACATAAAAAATTGCTATTTTTAGGAAGAAATATGAACTTAAGGGATTTACAAGAAAGTCAGAAACATTCTTGTATTAATCCATATTATCAGTATCTGACTGCAGTATGATATACTAGTCTATCGTCGGCAGCAAAAATTAGCTGGCACATCACTAACAACTTCTGGCAGTTAGTTCTGACGAAAAGTAATGTGTAACTTGTGTAGATCTTCAGTAAACAACTACCAGGCCAGCGTAAATGTTTGTTTAGGTAGGTTGTTAGTTAGTAAGTCATTTTATTCACAGGTATGATAATCTGAGCTATTATTTTATTTTTTCTTGACAGAAGACTATCTGAATTGATAGTTTTTTTTATTCTTTTCTATAACTTCTTGTTCTTATGTTTGAGCTTATTGATGTGTAATCATTAGCAAACTTCACGAAACTGAGAGTCATATTCAACTAAAACTACTCTTAGTTTGGTTAAATTTGCACTTAGTTTCACTTGTATTTTGTGTTCTTAGATGCATACAAAGGATGGTCTTCTGAACTTCATTCTACATACAATCAACTTCTCGAATATGAAAGTTTTTTGCGTTTGTTTCCTGTAGAGGTTGCTAACTCTATAGCCACCAGTACTGTAATGAGTGTGAAGGTAGGATGATGTTTCATTTAATAGTACAGTGTTTAAGTTAAAGAAAACATAATTATTTGTAGTGGATTATGTATTTATTCTGATTAGACAAGCAACTAAGTTTTCAGTTACAAAAGTAAAATTAAATTACTAGTTACTGAAAAATTCCCGTCATATTAAAACACAGTTATGAATAAAATACAGATTACTGCAGTCATACGCCAGTCTGCTGTGGTAGAGAACAAACCAACTTCCAGCTGAGGAGGAAATTAAGAAAAGATATTGGAAGTGGATAGGACACACATTGGAGAAATTATCAAACTGCATCACGAGGTAAGCGCTAATTTGGGATCCTGAAGGGAAACGAAAAAGTGGAAGGCCGAAAACCACACTGCGTCGGGAATTGGAATCAGGTATGAAAAGTATGAATAGCGACTGGAAACAACTGGAAAGGATTATCCAGAAGAGTTCTGGATGGAGAATGCTGGTGAGCGGCTTATGCTTCTCCATAAGGGGTAACAGGCGTAAGTAAGTAAGCAGCCGTACGTGATTATTTCAGTTGAATAATCATCGGAAGCCTGAAAATGAGATATCTTATGGTTATTCGTTCGTGACCATCACTGAATCGATCTGTGACAGAACGCGATTAAATATAAAGGACTTAATTAACTGGTTGTTTAGCATTTACAACCGACTGTATTGATTATTATAGGTGGCATTACAGTTAAGAATTAACCTATTTAGTTTTGTCATAGTTTCGTTGGTGTGTGATTAGTAAATCAAACCCATATTTTATAATCAATCATGTTTCAAATTACTTCTAATTGTTCTATAATTTTATTCAATAATTTGTATATATCAGGGCAACGCTTTACAGTAAAGAAAAATTTATTCAGTTGGCCGCTTTGTTGTTTCTCGATATCGATTCATTCAGAAGTTTCCATTTATGCTTCCATCTTGTGAGCCTTCATATCTTATCATTACTTATCGTCTATTGACCAGCCTTTTGTCCATCCTTATGATAACAACTGTATTCGTAATCAGCCATCCTAAAACACCTTAATAATGCGAAACTCCATCTGAAGTAAGGGTATTAGGGAACTTTATTAGTGTAGCTGAGCTGTTCTATGAGGGTCTTTATTACTTCGACATAACATCGTACCTATTTTACAATTAGTTATTGCTCTTTGACTTTTAAGATGTTGATTTTTCAAAGGGCACTCGAAAATCCAACTAGATGGTAATTGAACTGTTATTCTTATCACCAATTTTTTTGCCTCAATAATAATAATAATAATTTATTTTTTCCGATTCAAGCAACCTTTCGTAGAACTATATTGTCGTCTCTCATTTCACAGACCCCATTTCCTTTTGATTATTTGGAAACATTCACCTACATGTTTCGTGAATACACACCTAATCTGAATATTTATATTTTGTTGAGTAATCATTTACTCAGCTTAAACTCACAGATTTTGTTTCAAGACTAGTGATACTAAACGGTTGCTTATGCTAAATTAGGTTAAGGGAGAGTGAAACTTTGATACCATAACCATTAAACTACCATTTCATCCAGGTTGATGAACTTTTGTATTGAGGTCCTCTATTTGGACTAGACTTTCATGTTACGTTTATGCATTATTACAAATTATATGCACTTAATAAGAAACTAGTATAATAAAATAAATATTACTATTTCAAATTATCTGTAATAGCAGTTATACATTTAGCAACTAGTCACATGAACTTTTTGTGGAGATTTTACCGTTTTAACATGATGGCCATCAATAATACAGAACGTTTTGATGCGTGAAATATTCCTGACAAAATTTTTATGGAGGGAAACAGGTAAACGACCAAACAAATGGTGATTTTCAAATGTTCCGAACTGTATTCCCTGAAAATGTCACCACTAAGTTTCATACTCCAAGTCTTTATTTATCACATTTTGCTAAATATTTTTGTATACAGACATATGATTGTTTGATAAACGAGATGTCTTATAGGTAAGTTGTGGACTTAATAGCTCAGCGGTAACGTCTCAGGCTGTGAAGCTGGGCGACGCTTGTTCAAACTCCATAGAGGGCATCACTCCCTTCAGCATTATAGTTACATTTTGGTCATGAATTCTAAGTGTCATGAAACCTAGAGCAGAGTTTCTTGCTGACCACTCCCAACTACTTTACGTTGTGTATGCATTATTAGATAAAGTCTTGCTAGATAGTGATGCAACTTACTTACACGTTGACCAATTTGAAAATAGTGAAACTGTTTTCTATCTTTTTCCTGTTTATACGGGAACTTATTCTAATCAAATTTTAGTGTGATTGTTCATGTACTCTTCTGTCATCGTCTGGTGATGTAGTACCTGCCAATACTGATGCAACACATGATGGTTCTGTTTCTCATCGAAGCGAATCTATATCTCTTCCCCAAAATGTTTCTTCAGCACCGAATCCGCGTTCATCTTTTTCTGGTCAAACTTCCGTAGTACGTTTTGATTCTCCAGATGAACTGCGTTGGGTTATGCACGTACGTTCAAAATACAATTTGCAAATATTTTTTCTCTTGTAACAGTATGATTCTTGTGTAACTTTCACACAATCAGTCATTAGTGTATTAAAATTAGATTCAGTATCTCTTAGGTCGAGTCTCGAATCGGGATATCTGACCTGCAGGGGTAAGTTTTAGGATATCTAAGGTACACAGGATGTATCAGTCTAGAGTTTATTTCTTGTGTTTCTGATTTAGGGAGATCAGTGCTTTACGAATCTGTAGCTAGGCACCTATCCGTTTATAAATTTGCTGACCATACATATTATATACTGGTAAGCAATACTATCCGGTTGCTTTGATCAAAATAATTTGATTTCTAGTCAAGTACGTAGGTTTTTGCATTACAGCTGCACAAAGGTTTCATTTATACCTTCTCTTTCTTTTTACTTTTGTTGGAGTTCCAAAAGTAAGCAATAGCAATTTCCAGGTGTATGTATAATTATATGGTGATGAATCACTAGTTTATATTACATTCTCAGTTTATAGTTGTTTTTTCCAGTTTCAAAGTGAGCACGTTGATCAATATTTAATCCCTGCTATTACCAATATTTATTGCAGCAATATTATCGATTCGAGTTAGTAAAACAGAATCTGTTCTACAAGGAAAATTAGATTGTAATCCATACTCTTTTTCTTATTTATGGTTATTTTAATAGGGTTTGTTATTCTGTTTAAATACCTACAATTTATCCTATAGATTAGAATTTCTAACTTGAATCCTTGGAAGTTAAATCTATAAACCATAGAGTCACAAACCTATTCGTTGTGACTAAAATTATTTTACTATTATCTATATTTATCTGATGTAACTTTAGTAATAGTGTGTAGTCGTTGTAGGTTAAGAATGTATGTATATATCATATAGTTGTGTTTGCATTTCATGTATGCAGACGGTACTGCAGGCAGTTCTATGTATGTACTAGTCTGTTATACATCTGTAAAATTTCACACTCAATCTTTCTCACTATCATTGTTACTTTTTTGCTATTCATCTTGTTAATTTCATCTCGTTATGCTATAATGGTATGACAACATGAGCAACTCAAATTCTTACTATGCTCTACGTTAATTCTGATTGACCAAATATAATGATTCATAAATTCATACAACTACGTGTCTTAGTTTTTCCTGTTTATACGAAGTTTTGTTGTAACTTAGGTATTGACTGACAATAAAACAATTTGAACTTGAACTTATAGCGAGTAAAATTTTCCTAAAACCAATCAATTCTTGCGAAGTCTTTAGTGTCATAGGGATTTGAGTTTTTTGTTGTATTAAGATTTGGGACACATAATAGCGCTATATATTTGCTACACAATTCTGTTATGAAGCATATGTGGTACTTGATACTAATTACTTAAAAGCAAATGACCATTTGACTTTTTTGTTAGCCAGAACAGATTTTCACATCATTAACCTTTATTTCTTTTTTTCTACGGTTATTACAAAAAGCAAAGTGATAAAGTTTACTCCATGAACTTTTGTTCTTTTGTCCTTCGTTCTTAACATCTATCACACAAAAATGGATTTCATACATAACTAGTTAGAATCTCTTAGCATCTGTATGATGTTTTAGGCATTTTAACCGTACAGAAATGTTTTATGTGCCATTTTTTAAGATGGCTCATGGTGTGACATTTAAGAAAAACACTTGATTTTTGCCTTAAGATACCATAAAGGTGAATTTTTAAAACGTTTAAACTTCCCGAATCTTATGTTGTTTCTTCTTCCTATGTTAGAAACAAAATTCTCTGGTCTGCTCTTAGAGACAATCAATTTTATAGGGTTTGTGTGGCTAAGTTGTATGTATAGCACTTAGCCTGAAACCATGGATGAAGTGTTTGGACTATGATTTATGGTTTGTAATATTTTGTGAAATATATGAACAGTGATATGTTAGAATAAATCGGTCACCTTATAAGCGCTAATGTCATTATTTACTAACGTAGTCGTAAGCAGTCACATATGCTTCATTTTTAGTCATAGCAATCATATCTTACGTACGCTGATTTTAGGCAGTCTCATTTTTATTACATAGGCCATCACTTACGGACTGACTATGTCATCTGAAAATTGGGACGTCATCAAACACAGTGCACATATTTACTGCTATTGGATCAAATGTCTTAATTCTTCAATGCGCTCCACACAATCAGGGAATTCGAACTCACCAATTCCGTTGATTCTACAAAAGGAGCCACAACGTTTCTTAAAATCCCTTTTGTTCTCCCTTACTTATTATTTCCTTCCACGTGATCCAGAACCATTAAGTGATCAGCCTAAGTTAATGTTTTCAACCCTTGGTCGAAGTTTAGCACCTCCACAGTATTCGACTAGTGCCGACTCATCAGAAGCTCCATCTTCTTTTACAGGTTAGAGTTTTAGCCTTTCATTTATTCTTGTCATAAATGTTATTTTATGTTATTCTCATCAGCTTATTAAAACAGGTGGCTTGTTTGGAGCCATATTAATGTCATCTGAGTCAATAATGTAATGACTCTCGGCTTTTCGTAGATAATAACCCACGATAAGTATTTTAGCACCCTTGGTTCTTGTCAGTTACCTCCTTGTAATTTTCACATACATGAGAACATGAAGGTTAAAGGTATTCCACCATTATGGAATTTTCGGCACTATCGTGATCCCTCTCCCATGACCGGAAAGGTTCAGTGTTTAGCTGTTTTGTAGTTGTGATACCTCTTTTTGTGTTTATGACTTAACTTTTGTCTCAGTTTTCACCAGATCTGTTCATTTTGTTGCATCTGTGCTGCAATATTCTAACATGGAATCAAGTCGTATCTTGTGGATAATAAAAACTTCCATCTTGCAAACGAGATTGTCGTATAATAGTGGTAAGGACGGTTATAATATTTATGTATTTAGATTAAGTTAGTGAGGGATGGCAAAACTAAAAAAAATGTTTGGCTGGAACCCAACTTAACAGTGCGGCGCAACTGTTTCAGAATCACTGCTCTCATCAATTTACTGTATAGTAATAATGAATTCCTAACAGATAATAATGACAGTGCTTAGAGTTTGACAAAGTCTCGAAATACCTAACGATATCAGTCCAGGTAAGCAAAGTAGTTTCGACGTGGTTACATAAGACGGTAATTTTTATTGTATTCGTAATTTTAGTACGTTGGTGCCATTTATGGTCCAAGGAGATTATATTGTAACATTTCAGATTAGCTACGCTAGTTTGTTTCAGTTTTACTGAGTTCCGGGTGTCATTATTATTCCAATTTTACATAAAGAATGGTTTATGCAACGTAGATATACAATTTTCAGTTGCCACTCTAATGTAATCTCTATTCCTAGTTTTGGTTTGTAAGTTTTGTTTATTCGTTCTGCTTTTTAAAATTAAATTTTTGTTTAGTTCTATTTTTTTAATAATTTTTTAGTGATCGAGTCAACACACTTATCAGCGTTGCTAAATAAGCAGTTAGACATTATAAAACTGGTGGCTGCTGCAGTCGAAGAATTATGCTCAGTACCGACTCAGTTAACATCTGACTCCTGGGAATGTATATTGCGGTTTTGTCTGATCATATGTCATGCTATTCTGTCACCACCTTTACATTTACCATCAGGATTACTCCAGTCATCTACTGGGGCTTCTCAGATGACCAATACTTTTATTTCGGGATCAGGATCTGTTGGTGGACCTAATTCTATGGCTCTTTTGTCAAATCATTCCAGTTCTTCAGATGCTAGGGGCACCAAGGATTCAGCTACCTTATTTGACGTCATATCAGACTGCGTTTCCAACTTACTATTCAGTACTTGGTTAAAAGCTTGTACTCATTGTTTTCCTAAACCACAACTCTGGGTCGCATTTAGAGAGTGCGCAAGAGTATGGCGACATCATAATGCGTTTATTAAACAGTGGTCTCGTGTTTCCGTGGCACTATCCGCTACTTTACTTGGTATACTAAATAAACCTACTAACTTAAACGGTAATTTTTACGTAGTCATATATATATATATATATATATATATATATATATATATATATATATATATATATATATATATATATATATATATATATATTTTTTCGATAATCAATGCTCCAAGAACATCTTTTGCAAGTTGAGTGTTGTTGTATTGATATATGTGATAGCGAGACAGAATTTGGAAGTTGAACGCACTTCCAAATATTCCGGATTATGCCGCAAAGTTAAGTGGCAATTATAGCTTATCAGTGTTTTAGTTTGACTAAATTGGTGGCTTACTTAGTGACCTGTACTATAAATCAAGAAAATAAGAAAAACAGACATAGTTTCCAACATATAGTCAGTAGTATGTGACGAAACCATGTTAAATAGTAACGTATGATACGTCTTGTGATCACTAACAACTATTTTTCATTCATCCATCAGCTAAACAATTGGATTCTCACAGATCAAATCACACGCAAAATACTGACATATTTGTCCAGTACTTTCTTCAAAAGCAGATTCGAATAAGGTTGTGTTCTAGAATCTTAATAGATACAAAAATATGATTGACTTATTCACTACAATCTATGTCTCAATGAAGTTGATAACGAGAAGTGTTTTTAATAATCACAATGATAGTCTTTCTTTTTTATGAATCTATTCTTTTGAAGTAATCTAACATAATTGAGTGTTACGGTTTGACATTTGAATTGATTCAATGCAGTATATAATTCTGAATATTACATAAAAATAATCAATATATGCTTATGACTTCGTCTGTGCAGTAGGTTGTGATTGATTTATATGAAATCATTCAATGGTGAATATTTCACCCCACTAATTGCGATTCTTTTCTCTATTAGTTAATTTCTCAATTGTTATTTTTAAAGTAATTAAAATAACCCATTGTATCGTTGAGTAGTAAAAACAGAATTCAGCGAAGAAAATTTTCTTTTCGACGAAGTTATTTACTTAATCTGTACATTTGTATTTATAGTTGTATGGTAAATATATATATGTCTATAGAAAGGTAGAAAGGATTGCATCATAAAGTGACTCGAGACTCCAAATATCGAATGGAGTTACTTAATAATCAGAGAGTTAGATAAAAATAGAAAGATGTAAATAATTAACGGGTCAAAATTATGAAAGATAATTGTCCGCTTGACAGATATGAAGAAAAACGAACATAAAGGTCATAATAATAACTTGCTAATAATCATGAAAAATTGTTAATGGATAATGATAACTGGTTACGGTTAAAAATCACAAAACACTAATTAAAAATATACCAAAACATACTACAGAAGGAAATTAGGGTCAAGGAAGGATGAGAGGTTGGACGTATCGTTTTTACACAGAGAGTCCGGGCCTCAACCGCGCATAGGTTTTTGATTCGACCTCCCTTCGATCCAGTTCATTTGATTGTGTTGACTATTTTAAAGGAAGACTCCTTCGAAGTGACGTGTCCAAAGTTGATTAGATGCTCCTGTATTGAGTTAGTAACCTTTGCATTCTCCTTTTAAAAGCCACTACGGATAATGTTCTGAGATGCGTTTGGAAAGTGATCGCTTTGTGCGGCCAATGTAACCTACCGTACAGGAGCAAGTAAATTTATCGATATGACCCAAAGAGAACATTTGTCCTCAACATATCCCTGAATGATAAGCTGCCTTGAGAAGAAAATGCGGAGCTTAGTTGAATAAGTTTTATTCAGGTGTTTTGAAATCGGTTTATTCAAGATTTCAGCAGCCGTATCTCCTTTAAATTCGACATTCATAAAAAGTTTTCTTTTGAGCTGTTGTTGCTTTCTCAGGAAGTCGTCTAAATGTTAAGTTCCTATCGATTAATCTAGGTGGATTAACACTATATAGTTTTCCGACGGTGATATTTAAGACTGTCATTGATTAGTCTATGTTACCATATTTTCATCCTTACTAGATTACTTCTATATTGCCATTAAGTCACACATTTTTCAGTATATTTGATATGTAGTTTGTGGTGGAATTCAGCACGCGTGTTTCGTCCGGCTTGGGATCCGTTCACAGGATTTACCTGGGCTAAGTATTGATATTCACATGAAGACTTGAACGCATTACCTTTTGTTTCGAACGCCATCGCATTATCCACACTATTGATCTTCAAGTTAACCAATACAGTTATTTCATTCTAATTTAGCTTATGCTTCTTTCATTCAATTAATTCCATCTGATCTACCTGATGGAAATGCGAAAGAATCTTGGATTCGTATGTTATATTTGATCGACAATCCAGTAGATCTTAGTCATGAACGTTTAATATGTAATACACCGATTTTTGAAGAATATAAGTAAGTTATAAACTGTATTTTCTCTGTTTCGCCCTGATATTTTTAATTGTTAAGGTATATCCTGATGATATGAAAGAACTTCTTATGGATTTTTCTTATTCCCTATGGTTTCCATGACAGTTGTAATCTTTATCATTGTCCTGATGGATTATCGTTCTCACATGTTCAGTGAAGTTAATGGTGTTGTTAAGCAGTTGATACAAACCAAAGTTGTTTGTAAAACTTATAGAAACTTTTTACCGTTTTTAAGAATAAAATTTCCGTTAGTTAAAGTCCTATCCTAATAATAGTTTCAATGTACAACGGCCAGCTTCGTGTTATCGTACAGCTGTGTGGCGTGACTTACAAGGTTGGAAGATATACTTAGATACAGGCATTTGTTCTTAAGTGCCTCTGGATCATTATTCATGTGTTACAAAATCGTCAACTGGGTAATGATGAGGCTAAATTCAATATTTTAAACAAATTAAAGATAAATCGTTTGATGCGGATGTGGAATTCCATCGATTGAATTAACTGGATTGTGTGAGTCACCTTGTACTTCAGCATATATTACTGACCAAACCAAGCTTAAACCGAAAAAGGTTGAACTAATTGACTAAACTAAAACATGACATCAATCCACGAAGCCAATGAGTGTTAGTCTGAATCGTCCAAAGAGTTGTAGACTTACTGAATTAGGCCCTCATTCAAATCGAATGATTTATGTGGTGCATATCTATTCGGTGCCCACTTGTACCAATGTTTATGTGTTTAAATAAATAAATAAAATAAAGAATGAGGCCTTCAACTTGATGACAATTGTTGTTTGGCGACATATGGTAATATAGTTCAGAATTGGTCATAATGTTACTGATGAATTCACATTAGATTTTATGTTAAATTCTTAACCTTTTTTGTCTACTTTTCGTTTGTATTCCCTTCCATTTCCATTAATATCGTTTCACTTCCCGTTAAATCTTTTTGATTGGTTAAATAATACGAGAATTTTAACTTATGTGATTTAGTTTACAGTTTGTTGAATAAACTGTATTGCAGTTTTGAACTGATAAGATTCGATATAAATCGTTGGTGGATACTTTGTATGTCACTTTTATTAAATGGTTTAATGCAAACTATTAAATTTTCATACTGAGTATTAAAACTTCACATGGACTTTAAAACTTTGAATTTTTAGTTTTTCCTTATTCATTCCCAAAATAAAAATTAAAACACATACTTTAAAAAAAAAAGATTACATCACTATCAGTTATAAATAACTCCAAAGTTTTGTGACACCAAGTATTCATGGTGTATTGACTTTTGCAGATTAAAACAAGCAAAAGGAAAGTGGTTCAACGAATAAATTGCTTTCCATTAACTTCGTTATTGAAAAACTAAACCACCTTCTTCAACTTGTTTCTTTCTTTCTTATAGATTATTTTTTGTTTATTTAGGAATTTCAAAGGGGTTTTAGATTATTCAAATATGTATCAAACAATAAAGAATATTTTGTATTATAATTTGTCTAGATTGAACCAGTCAACTTTATTCATATGTTCAGTTTCCCCAGTATCAAATCACTGAGAGATCTTAGCTAGACACTATTTAAATCTTGAAAGCACTGGGAGCCCATTTTGTTTTAGTATGGGGCTCCACAGCAGTTCTCATGACCCTGCGGCCGGAAATCGAACCCAGGCTCTTCGGTCTTGCACGCGAATACTTTAACCTTCAGACTACTGACCTGGTATCCAGTAGTGTTAACGTCTAACTACATGATTCAAAACTGAAAATCCTGCGATTTCCATAAATCTACTGTACTAATATTTTCCGTTTGGTTTGTCTTATATCTGTATTTGATTATTAAGTGAGCAAATTAGTTAAAAGCATTGTTCACATCGTTAGCTTATTTATCATTTATTAGAGGTTTGTTAACTGAATAACTATTTCATGTATAATAGATTACAAAAGAATTACACTGTTATTGTTTTTATTGTTGGTTCATTAATTCGATAACAATAGAAGTCAGGTCAACCTAGCAATTTCATCATGCCATCATTTCTTAGTGTTTGTACCACAATATTTATAGACTATTATCAAAGAAATAGTACCAAGGTATCTTTATTACAAAACAAAAACAAGTTGAGTAATCATTAGAAATTCTTGGGACGGCTTCGAATAGCACTACGAAATCTCCAGAGACTAAAGCAGCCGAAGAGATTTCATCCAGATAGAAAATGGTAGAACCATCCCGACCGTTGTTGCTACCTTGACGTGGTGGTCGGGCTTGCCTATCGTGATGAAGCAACCGAGCTATACTGTCTGGAGCAACTGTTCCTCAAGGTCCTACCATGTCAGACAGGTCGGTTGAAGAGCGGTAAGACTAAAAGCAACAAACCCAAGGTCCGAAGGCGAAGTCGTACTGCTGACTGTACAGAGGTGTGACAGCAGTAAGGTGTTTCCTCCAGACAACCAGCCTGACAGCGATGCTGCCTTCCCACAAGGAGGGGTGGGGTTAGAAAAGGTCAACCCTAAAAATGCACACCTCGCCTTATCCCACGGATATCCGTCTCCGGCGGTAAGGTCTCAATAAGTACGGAGCTAACACAAAAATTACCCATAACAAGGTCGTGTGTGACCGACCTCAAGCAGTTGTCCCTTGGGCATTGCGATCACGCTCCAGGTCACTAAGACCACCTCTAATCCAATTTCTTTCTCAGGTACCTCCAGAACAACCCTTCCACAGTGTGGGCAGCCGGAAAGTGATAACTGCCCTCATACTTCTAACAGCACTCAAGACCACTGTATTCCTAATCAACCTCCGTCTTCACTTCCTTTTACTCCTCCTACATTGCCTTTCACCTCTAAACTTCGTTTTTCGGCTTCCCCACCAAGTGTCACCATAGCCAACGGTTCTAGTGCTCAAAACACTGTCTCAGGTCCACGGAGACCTCGCTCCAAACTACACTTTGGAGCCTTCAACGTACGCACCCCATGCCAAATCGGTCAACAGGCTTCTTTGGCTAGAACCCTATTATCTCTAAAACACGCATACAGGATCCCAGTGTGGTCATTCACTTGACCTCACCTCGGCAAGACGGAGAGCCAACGAGATACACCCTTCGTGTGTCTGGTGACCCGATGGCCAGTTCTCGTGGACTGGCAGGAGTAGGGATAGTACTAAGCATGAGGGCGGAACAAGCACTGTTAGAATGGATCCCCGTTAACAGTCTTCTATGTGCTGTTCGGCTAAACGGCTACGTAAGAACTCGGAAGGATAGGGACACGTCGTTGCCTTTTTGTCGTTTCTGCCTACGCTCCCACCGACTGCAGCTCAGATGATGTGAAAGATGAATTTTGCAGAAAGCTATCCGAACTTCTTCAGAAAGCTAAACGCTCAGACATAGTACTCGTAGCAGGTGATTTTAATGCTCAGATAGGCAGTTTAAACCAAACAGAAAGGCATTTAGGTGGATATTTTAGTATTCCGACACAGCGAACAGATAATGGTGATCGTCTGCTGCAGCTATGCTCAGACAATCGTTTATTTTTAGCCCCCCTGAATGCCCTGGTACGGCCGAGAGTGGGGAGAGTCCGCTCTCCCTCTCGAAATACTCTCACACGGCCACGCGTATACAGCCTCTGCCAGGGAAGTCCTACTCATTGCCTTCTCGTGGCGGGGGTGTTGTCTACGAAAATGAGAGGACGAAAAGCGAATGTCCGGCGCTTTAACCGGATTCCAAATCAATGGTGCACATGGGCTCCAGTATCCTGCGGGAACGAATGGCGTATGAACCAATCGTTGGTCACCGGCTACCATGGGACTGCATCTCCTTACGATGCTCCACTGCCTTGTGGGTTAGACCTTTAGGTCAAAGGCTCGGGGAGTGGCCCCCTAAGATAACCACCTGCTTCGGTTTGGGCACCCGGGCAGTATCACAGCCCACACACAAACTGATGAACTCTTTATGCCTACGGAAATTACCTTTCTTGCTTTGAAAAACAAACAATTGATTCAGATTATTATCATTACAATTATTGTCATTATTAATACTGTTATTATTATTACTAGTATTATTGTCATTATTGTTATTATTATCATTATTATTATTATTTTCCACATTACTCACCCTCTTTTATACTTATACAGCGGCTCGTCTTTGGCGGAAATCCGACTGTATCTATACGTTCTCGAGTCACTGTCCGGTTGAAAATTGTATGTTACCACCGAATACGAGGACTGAAGCAGATTTTCTGAAACCACGTGCACCATTCAAACTGGCTGCCTTCAACGTTCGCACATTTATGCAGGTCGGACAACAGATAGGGCTGGCTATGTCTTTGGAAAGTCTTAATATCGACGTGTGTTGTCTATCCGAGACCCGTATTCAAGACTCTGGCGAAGTACTACAAATTCGATCTCCATCTGTCGCTTCGAAAAGCTTGTTTTACGTGCGCTTATCCGGGGACCCTGTGGCATCTTCGTCTGGTCTTGCTGGCGTTGGTGTCGCACTAAGCGCTAGAGCTGAGGCAGCACTAGTCGATTGGATCCCCATTAACAGTCGGTTATGTGCTGTTAGATTAGAAAGTTCCATCAAAGTGAGAAGAAATCGGCGTGAGAAACGATGTCTTTTCGTCATCTCCGCCTATGCCCCGACAGATTGCAGCCCGGATGCAATCAAGGATGAGTTTTACCACCAGTTATCAGTTCTTCTCCAGAAAGTGCGTTCGACAGATATTGTAGTACTAGCCGGAGACTTGAATGCTCAGGTCGGGCGTCTAGGCACAGAAGAGAGTCGTTTAGGTGGCCGATGGGGACTCGTTGGTCGCAGGTCAGATAACGGGGACCGTCTACTGCAACTTTGCACAGACCACAACCTGTTTCTGGCTAGCACTAACTTTCGGCACAGTCATCGCCGATGTGCCACCTGGCGTCCTCCCTCTGCATCTCAAGCCTGGACTCAGATTGATCACATCGCGATCAGCTACCGCTGGCGTGGTTGTGTAAAAGACTGCCGCTC